TTATACCTCGAAGATACGAGTTCTATAAACTATTTATATAAAATTATATAATTATATATTATTATTATTGTTATTATTATTATTATTATTACTAATTATTTCAATAAAATCATATAAATCATTTTATATAAATCACTATTGCTTCAGCGACGACACAGTGAAACGTATAATCAAAGCTGTCTATTGAAGGAAACCGGGACCGAGAAGATCTCTGTGATATTATCGGTAGGCCGTGGATTTCATGGATTCGCGATCGCGAGAAACGAGGATGTGTAATTTCAAACGACCGGAAGATTAAATACTATTTAAGAACGATCGTGCATCTCGTTCTCAGCGCACCGAAGTTATTCGACAAATAATTCTGTATACATGATTCATGTATTAATTAATTAAATAGTACATAATTCTGCATTAATATCAATAATACATAATTCTGCATCTTTCGCGATCGACGTGAAGACGGTGTTCATTTCGCGTGAAGATCCGATCCGCGGTCCGATTACAGCCGCGTTAACAACAATTAATAGATAATAAATAATAATTACGCACGTACGATAAACAATAATTAGCGGCGCGGTAAACGCGCGTTTCTAAACATTTTCATCACCGGCACAGAGATAAGAGGAGAGTACCGTGAAAACGCTGCGCATTCATATCGTCCGCCGATCTAACGGTAATCCCATCGGATCCGCCGAGAAAGTGAAAAAGCCGTTAATGCTTAATCTTGAAAAATTCATACTATCTGGAATGACTGTACGATTACCTTGTTCCGGCTTCGGGGAACGAGACGCAACGATTGCGCGTTAAACGCAACGTTTAAAAGAGATCGGGTCGCACGACGGGCGTCGCTCGTTGTTTTCCCCCGATGTTCGTCCACGGATCGTCGAATCGACGCGAGATGCTCGCGACAGTTCTCGGATCGGTTTCCGCGTGAGAAAATGCGGCGGTCCGCTAGGAACACGGTGAACACGACGGGACAGGGTTAGACCGGCAGAGGCTCGACTTCGCTTCGTTTCGTTTCGTTTCGTTTCGTCGCGGATCGGCGAGTCTCGTTTCCCCGGGCGGTCGGGGAAAGGACTGTTGACCGGGAGCGCGGGCTCTCGTTTACGGGAGTCACTGATCGATAATTTGATCGAGGGGAGAAAAGTGACCGCGAGACGACGAGAGTGACCGGGAGACGACGACGACGACGACGGCGGCGACGGCGACGGCGGCGGCGGCGGCGAGAAGAAATCGCTCGGAAGAAAAGTATGCAGCTACTTTCCAGTTTCATGGCGAGGCATCTGAAGCGAGGAACATCCTTGAAAAAAGGTACGCCGGCGGCCTGGCGAGCACTCATTTAGAACAATGCCATCGTAATTACCGGCGCAGAAATTACGCCGAGCGGCGTCGAGCCGCGCCGCGCCAAGCCGAGTCGAGCAGAGCCGAGCCGAGCCGAGTCGCGCCGAGCCGCGCCGCGTTGCATCCGTCGTTCTTTCGACAGATCCTCCGGCGACCGAGACGTCTCTGTTGGTCTCTTTGGCCGACTGATACCGGGCAATTAACCAGTTAGCTGTGTTTGACGAGTACGCTCGTCATGGAGAAGTATGCTCGTCGCGCGTAAAAAAGGTAGCGCGACCGTTGGCTATTTAAATTGTGATCTCGGTGAGAACGGGGAAACATGTTCTCAAATTTCAAGATGTTTAGGATATTTCGTGACCAGGCCGGAATGAACAGAATAATGGGAACCGTGTGCGATAAAATTTCACTTGGAAATTATCGGGTATACGTGTTACGTATACTATATCGTTTGTTTCGCCCTCGTGCCGATCCTCGGACATAATTGTACAATTTGCTGCCGCGTGCTCGTGTTACAAGCACAAAGAGCGCAGAGAAATCAAACGCGTTGCGCGGTATGTATGTACGTATCTATGATTTAACGGACTGCGAATTTCACGCGCTCGCGTAACAGGACCGCGAGTTTTCATGAGAAATACAAAATTGTCGAGAGCAGTCGGTAAGAAACAAAAGTGAAGATATAGATATGCGTATACAATTTGAACTAGTTCGATAAGTTGAAAACGGCGCGATATAATTATTAAATTATTATTCCGGTGTCCTTACAGAGTTTCGTATTCGACCATTAATTATTGTCACGAATGCATCGAATCCGCAGGTCTATAACGACTACCGTTTTTCTTCGAAGCTTGAAATCTTGCCGCGAAATCTTGCATTTTAAGGGACTCGGATCGAAAAAAAACAGCGTACGGTTCGAATAGCTACGAACTCGCCCGGCGCGGCCTGGTACTGCAATCTGCCCATTTTTCTGGACAATCTGAGCGTCAATTAGGGAGACATTATTATGTACAGTAATGGAGTCGTAAGGCTCGAATAATCGTATCTCTATAATAATTCTGTAGAAATAATAATAATACTGTAGAGAAACACTGAAGAAATACTTAAGAAGCTAGCTGTACTGAGAAATACTAAAGAATACTGTACAGAATAATACTGTACATAGTAATGTCTCTCTAACTGACGCTCAGATTGTGCACAAAAATGGACAATTTCGGAACAGGAGATACGATTATTCGAGCCCTGCGACTCCTTTTATAGTTGTTGCCAATTCGTAACTATAAAAGCAATCCGCAAGATTCGAACAATCGTATCCCCTCTTCCAAAATTGTGCATTTCTGTGGACAATCTGAGCGTCAATTAGAGAAACATTACCGTATTCCGTGTTTGAAAGACGTGAGGAAAACTGGACGCAACCGGGCGAATAATCGTATCGGATGAAAATGAAATACAAAAGGATTTATCTAGGTCGCCGGACATCTGGCTCGTAATTAACCAATGTACAAGAAGGGAAAAAGACGTTAACTGGCGGCGCTATCGAGCCGTTAAATGCAATCGTTCTGCTTGTGGAAATTCAAATTATCCGCGCGATGCATCGGTCGCGCTATTTAAAGTAGCGTAGCGGAAAAATTCAACGAGAGTAGAGCTCCTCGAGACAGCGACTGCGATAAGTTTCTTATGAATAGAAATGAGCGAAAGACGCGATAAATCAGAATTTTCTCTCTAAACGCTTTCTAAAAAAAAAACAGAAAAAGAAAAAAAAACGAGCACTCTTCGATCAATTCCAATGAAACGCTCGATTCCTGTCTAAGAAAAATTCGATGCACAATTCGCATTAGAATGTCCGTTTATAGTATACCGATGCTTGGGTTTCTAATAATCGATAAATAAATAATCAATGTGGAGTTGCCTGCGCTATAATGTTATAGATTCGCAGTGAAATATTTACACGTTGACGTATAAATGGATTTGTGTGTTCGTTCATGTATCGGAACGTACATATGTATATGTATATTTATATATTGTGCTATATAATATATAATACATATTATATATATATTACATATACATACACATATTATATATATATATATATATATATTACATATACATATACATATTATATATATTATATATTACAATTATCATATATTATATTATTATATACTACGTTATTATATTATTATTGTTATATTATATTATTATATATGTATATATCTCCTGCGAGTCTTATTAATAATACGGGGAATAAAAATGGTCCGTTCGGCAGCAACACCTACGGCGACACCACCGAACATTCCAAATTGCAAACGCTAAAAATAGGGAGCGCACACACGATTTAGTATTCCATTTAATCAATATGACACGAAATATCCGCAATGTACGAACGGACTGGATGCAATCACGCGACATTTGCTCGGATGATCAATGAAGATAATGGAACTGTTAATTGAAATACGGATCTGCCGTTTTGTGTTCGCGGAGTGCGCATAAATTGCAATCGGGAACAAACGACTGTACGATGATAGTATACAGGGTGTCCCAAAAATGTCTCGCGATCCGGAAATGGCGGGTTCCTCGGATCATTCGAAGCAACTTCTTCCTTTAGAAAAATGTTCTCCGAGCCACCGTTAACGAGTTATCAACGAAAAACAATGACCAATAAGAATCGAGTACGGTTGACGCGAGGCGGCCCAGCCAACCAGCGTGCGAAGCCCAGTTCCGCTCATTGGCTCGGTCGCCTCGTGTCAGCCGAACTCGCCTCTCATTGGTCACTGTTTTTCGTTGATAACTCGCTAACGGTGCCTCGTAGAAGATTTTTGTAAAGGAAAAAGTTGCTTCGAATGACCCGAGGAAACCGCCACTTTCGGAGTGCTAGACATTTTTGGGACACCCTGTTTAAGCTATCTACGACTCACTCGCGCGACTCTTTTTCTTGAAAACCGAGCCGTTCAAAAAAAAAAAAAGAAAAGAAAAACGTTCTAACGATACGCGAATTTAGATGATTTTCCGTTCCACGCTCGTTGCAAATTCTGCGATCTGACCAAAAAGCGATAACATCTGAGCAGGTTACTATCGGTCTACTATCGGCTCTCCTATTCAATGTGTATGCACCTCTTAATGCCAAGGTCTCGTGCTGGATTTCTTCCTTCCTCCTTTTAGCCGATTAAGCTGGCCGCTTTCTACCGACGTGTTCCAGCTACAAAATTGCATTCTGACGCGACGACGTCTCCGAACCCGTGCGCGCAAGGCGCAGTAAATTCTCCCCTAATTGACGCTCCGATTGCGCGCAAAAAAATGGACAATTCGGGAAGAGGGGATACGATCGTTCGAGGCTCGCGGCTCGTTTTCAACGCTAGATTTACGCAACACAAAAACAGACCTTTTTTATATGTATCTTCACGATATGTATAATCTCGTAAATGAAAAAATTAGCGACCCGCCATTCTGACGGGTTCCTGTGAATCTAGCGTTAACAATCGGTAGCGACATAAATTTAGAACGATTCGTAGACACGGCAAAATAACAGCAACAACAAAATAACAAAAGCAAATAACAGCGAGTAAAATATAAGCCACGCGCGTTTAATCGACCGCTAGCGAATAAATTATGCGTTATGGGGATACGTTTTTTTTTAAAACCGACTTTCCTCCGCTTTTTCTATGCGAAAATCGACCGCTACGCGTCGTCGGGCATTTCTCGAACGTTTGGCAGAGCGACATCGGCGAACCGGTTCGACTCTTGACAAATCGTTCGAAATGGAATCGCTATCCGGCCGGGGCCTTAGAGATATTAATTCTTCGTTCGCGGCGCGGCGCGGCGGCGGCGGCTGGTTGCCGTTTCGTTCGGTCGTACAGTTAACGACGAGGAGAAACGTCAATTTCCTGCCAGCGGCCGGGCCACGGAACGTTTCAACTTCCGAGATCGATGCCAATCTGAAAATCCAGCTGGAGATTCACGCGACGACCGGCGCTATGGACAGGGGCATAAATCGGGCCGGACGACTTAACAAATGGGATCGGGCGAACGCGACATTCCGCAATGGCCGAACGAGGTTTCCGAAAGTTTATCGCCGCACGGACGCTGCGGCATCGTTAATTGCGTTCGTACGACAACCGTTCGTCCTTGCAACCCCCTCGGTCGCATTCTGATTGATATACGCGTGCCACAGTCGAGAGAGAGAGAGAGAGAGAGAGAGAGAGAGAGAGAGAGAGAGAGGCCATTATGCGCCGGGCGATACGGAGATCGGGCGATATCGCGGCCGGCGTTGCGAACACGCGAAAAAAATATGCCAACTATTACCGCGAAAAAGAAACAGAAAAAGAGAAGAAGAAAACGCATTCGTTCCGCTCTTTTCGGACCTTTCGGTCCGCCACGCGGTGACCTGGATCCTGCCGTGTCGGCAGGACAAACTTCTTATTGCCTTCGTGTGACAATGTTATTGGGTCGGCCGTTCACCACCGAATGGTGCTCCCAGGTGCGGTCATTTTTGTCCAGAAATGTTCGCGGGTCGGAATCGAAATCGGACAGATCCGAGAATACTGAATCGCTCGATTCTTCGCGAGCTCCGTTGGCTCGTTTTTTTTGTTTTTTTTTTTTTATATAGAAACTCGGGGCGGTCGGCAAAAGCACAGGGAAATTCACGGCGACCCGAAATTTCGCATTTCCGGGAGAAATTATTGTGTATATTCGAGAACGAAACGCCTAACGGCGATCTATTGACAAAATCAAACGAGACAGGAAATTCAAATTTTATGTTTGTCCGAATCTTGGCGGCGGATCCTATATATTTGACAAGCTTTAATGGAAACGGCTTGCTGACTTCGATAATTATGAGAATACAAATGAGAAACCGATCATATTTGACCGACGGTGGTAGCGTTAGAGATGCATATCGCATCAATATCCGCGATATTATGTATTATATAATATAATATTGTGT